GGCGGGGGGGGAGGCCGTGGCAGAAATGCATTGGCACAGCTGATATTCAGCCTACCCTGTCATCATCTTTTCCTTTTATCCTGCTTCTTCATGACACTTATCACCTCCTAAATTATATTATTCACTTGTTTGCTGGCCTGTCTCTTCTCCCAGCCAGAATATAAGCTCCATGAGAAGAGGGACTTCGTTTATTCACTGTATTCTACCAACTACTTAGAAGAGTGTCTTGCACAAAATACGAAGTAAATGCAGCAAGAGGTAACTAATACACTAGTATTCTCTTTTTCTTTTTCTTTTTTTTTTTTTTGGCCACACCATGCGGCTTGTGGGATCTCAGTTCCCCAACCAGGGATCGAACCTGGGCCACAGCAGTGAAAGCACCAAGCCCTAACCACTGGACAGCCCGGGAATTCCCACACTAGTATACTCTTTAGAAATCTTTGTCTCCCACAAAATTGCAACTACCCCTTCGACAACTGTCTCCACCCCTTGTCTTAAATAACTGAACCAAAACCCATTAAAATTCCTAACCCCCTCACCATGATCAAACGACATAAATCCTGGAACCAGGGAGAAGTCAGTCATGGGTTTGTAACCCTCCTCTCGTGCCCCCTGCAAACCTTCAGTCCGGGTGGCCCTTCAGCTGTCTCCACTCTCCAGGCACCTCCAGCATGGAGGCTCTGTGATTTCTAGAAAGTGTCGTTTTAATTAAATTCCAAAGAACCATTCTATGATCCCAGAGGACTTCATCATCAAGGGATTTTTACTTTGCTTATTAACTGAAATCAGCATCTTTTCAGCCGAACAAGTGGACTACTTCCAAGGTGACAATTTCCTTCCTAACAAGCTTCAAATCCTATAAACAAGTTCCCACGGCCACTGACAGGGTTTGTAAATCTATTTGCCACATAGTCCAACCAATATGTCCAAGACATGTGGTTCTAGAAAATTGTGTGTGAGCCTTTTTCTGGTAATTAGATAGAATTCTCAACGTATTAACAGAGCTTACTATTTAAAGGAATCTTTCAATAAAGTGTAGAATATACTGAATATCTCAGAGAGGCAAAGTAGATATTAATTGAAATCTGTCAACCAAGGCTGCCTATTTTACCTTCCTAAATACATGTCCTGTTTGTCCTGTGCTCTCCTCTAACCCTCATCTAGATGATGCAGTGGTTCCTCATACCAGTCTGCCCCCACCGCCTTCCATCCACACGGCAGCTGCAGAATTTGCAGAATACAAATCTGAACACATACCTCTCTGCTTAAAATCTCAGAGGTTTCCGACTGCTCTTAGGAGAAATACAGACCCCTCACTATGACACTGTCAGGCCCTGTCAGCCTGACCCACCCCGCATCCTGCACCATTGACCTTCCCTTGATCTGCTCCAGCCCCACTGGCCTTTCTCTGGCAAGTCCTTCAGCCCCGTCCTGTCCCCAGCCCTCCCCACCATCCCAGGCTCTCTGCACACAGCCAGAAAAGCTCTTCCCAGGCCTCTCCACTTAAGTAACTCTTCTTGCCTTTAGACTGCCGCTCAGGGTGGCCTGCCCTGGCCTCCCTAACCCAGTGAATCCCCTGGTACACGCTCCCATAGCACCGCGGGTCTCTGCCTTGTGGCCTCATCACAGCTGCAGATTTCCATCTGTTTCTCTGACTGTTGGATTAACATCTGTCTCCTGAATAGACTGTAAGCTCCATGAGGGCAGGGAGCTCATCTGGTTTTCTCCCTGCTGTATTCCTGGTGCCCAACACCAATCAGATGTTCAGTTTCTAGGCTGAATCAATCACTCACTCAATCAATGAGGGTCAGGATCTGCCTCTCACTAATCTGAATCTCACACTCCTTCCTGCCTCTCACTAATCTGAATCTCACCCTCTTTCCTCAAGCTCTGCCTCCGTGATTCCATCAAGGACCTTGGCACTTGCCTACTGCCATCCCTCCCCCACTTCCGTCCCATCTCCTCTGTCCTTTAAAGCCCAGGTCAATATCCCCTCCAAGATGATTTCCTGATGCCAGCAGCCCAAAAGGATTCCTTCTCTCCCCATTTGCCCTCTGGGAACCTGTCTCCCTCTGCCTAGGATGAGAGCTGCACCTTACCCTCATGTTAATGGCACGTTCTCCAGAAGATAGGGGCTTTTAGTCCTGTTCATCTTTTACTTCCCTGTTCCAAGGGCTCCATAAATTTTGATGTGATCGGATCGGAACAAAACAGAATTGAAAACCCTCCTACCAACCCCTCCTTGTGCCCAGTCTTTCCCTTTGAGGCAGCCCAGATCCAAGGGGTGTAAGGAGCTTCAGCTTTGAGGGTAGAAAAAAATGTCTGAGAGGTAATTAAAGAGAGAGAGAGAGCTTGAAAGCAAAACCTTGAGAAGCCCAGGGCCAGCGTGCTGGCCTCCCTTACAAAGCCTGGCACAGAGTTTGCATTCAATACGCACTGAATGAAGGGCTGAGTGAATGAAAAGTTCACAGCCTTTAAGCTCCTGGGGTCACTCCTGGCAGCGGGACTGAGCAGAGAGATGCTAATGGATTTGGAGTCACCAGAGCCAACTCTTCTAGGAAGCCCAAAGCAATAGTTCTGCCTGGGCCACGAGCATCTCCTTCTCATTTTGAAGATGGAAACACAGAGGGCCGAGATGGTCTGGGCCCCAAGGTGACTTCCTCATCCCGAGGGTCCGCCACGCAAGTCCTAGAACATGGAAGGTGCCCGTAGCCACCTCTGCCCATGTTACATAATCAGTCTCAGGACTTGCTGGTCACACCGCACGTAGTGACGTCCCTGCAATTAGATGTGTCCACCTTCCCAGCCCACCACCAACCTCCCGCTTAGGGGGCACCGTCTCCCTAAGGAATGTCTGGTGAGGAAGTGGCCCCTGGCTTTTTTCAGGAAAGGTTCTTCTCAATCAGAGGTCCCAGGTCTCAACAGCAGGAAGCAAAAAATACCAGACCCCCTACCCAGCCCTTGGCAAAAGTAAAGGGTCCGTGGCAGACCCCTAAAAATCCCAGGACAGGGCTTCCCTGGTGGCGCAGTGGTTGAGAGTCCGCCTGCCGATGCAGGGGACACGGGTTCGTGCCCCGGTCCGGGAAGATCCCACATGCCGCGGAGCAGCTGGGCCCGTGAGCCGTGGCCGCTGAGCCTGCGCGTCCAGAGCCTGTGCTCCGCAACAGCGGAGAGGCCACAACAGTGAGAGGCCCGCGTACCACAAAAAAAAAAAAAAAAAAAAAAAATCCCAGGACATGCTGTCACTTGGAGGGAGAAGACGAATGTTTGACAAGTACACAGACACACACGCACGTGCGCACACACGCGCGCACACACACGCGCGCACACACAGATGCACACAGAGATGGTTCCCATTACTCTTCCTCCTCTTCAGATCACATCCCCCCAGGGAGAGCTGGCAGGGAGGCCAAAGAACTATATGGATGGAGAATCCAGACCCGGAGCAGAATGCAGAGCCCCTGCATTCCAGGGAAGCGAGATGCCAACCTGCACACACCAAGGACCCCCAGCCCTCACGTCCCAGCAGCGACCCCGCAGGGCCGTGGCCCACTGCCAGCCCCCGCCGCCCACAGGCAGCCTTACTTCTTCACTTTCGGGTACTTCATCTCTGCGATGGCATTCGTGGCTTCCGTCTGCTTCTCCTTCAAGTGCTGGGGCCACATGTTATCCACCCAGTCCACCAGGTCTACCTGAAATCCAGCCAGGCCACCGTCAGCACTTCCTGGCTCCGAGTGCCCTTAGGCACCCCATCACCACACCTCAAACCTCCTCCCCCTTGGGCCGGGGAGGGGACCGCAGCCGCAGCCGGGGTGGGGGGGGGGG